ACAATGCCCCTTTATAGTTAGCAAATTGTCTGTATTCCAAGTGTAGGAGGAGGGCAAATTGGAATCAAACACCCATGTGTGAGCGGTGTACTGTCAATCTGTTACTTAATGGTACAGATTTGTACTAAAAAGAGTTCTCAAACTTTGTTCAGTTCAAATGTCTCCCTTTTGACATACCTGAATTGTTCTCTGGGTGTATCTTAAAACTAGGTATGCTGAGGTCTGGTACCAAAACTAGCTAAATTAGTATAGATATGCTTATCCTAATTACTGTATTGCAGATATATATATTGACCTACCTCCCACATAATTTAAAGTATATAACAAAACTACAATTAGTGCTGTGTAAGTTAATCTAGGCTTTTAAATTACAAAAGCATTGCTTTTTTGTTATTTTATTGATCAACTTTCATGCCTTTGAAAATACAAATTCCAGAATGACATCATGCCCAGTAGGAGTAATTAAAGCTATCTGATGAGGGAATTTAGAAGTTGAAAGGGATGATTGTAATTGATCTTGATTCAATCCTATTATAGCTTTTTATAGTTTAAGCTCTAGAGAAAGCAAACTCCTTGTCAAGGCTTTATTTTACGGATTCCTTTGTGTGCGATATGCTTGCTGGTGTCTACTTTCCCTTTTAATTTTTTTTTTTTTTTCCTGTAGTAAATAATGAGCTGCCGCCTGAAATCCGGCTTGCCAGTGGTCAGCTAATGGGTGATGACCTGTCCCTCCTTACTGCAGGAGAGCTGTCACCTTATATCAGTGACCCAACGCTGAAGCTATTCCAGTGTGCTGTTTGCAACAAATTCACCTCTGACAGCCTGGAGGCCCTAAGTGTGCATGTGAGCAGCGAACGCTCGCTCCCTGAAGAGGAGTGGAGAGCTGTAATTGGAGACATCTACCAGTGCAAGCTCTGTAACTACAACACTCAGCTGAAAGCGAACTTCCAGCTCCACTGCAAGACTGACAAACATATGCAGAAATATCAACTGGTGGCTCACATTAAAGAAGGGGGCAAAACTAATGAGTGGAGGCTGAAGTGTATTGCCATTGGCAACCCAGTTCACCTAAAATGTAATGCCTGTGACTACTACACCAACAGCGTGGATAAATTGCGCTTACACACTACCAATCACAGGCACGAGGCAGCCCTGAAACTGTACAAGGTAAGCCAGTGACAGCAATTTCAGTCGGCAAGGAATAGACTAGGAAATTAACCGTTTCAGTGCTAATCGAACAAGACTTTGATTAATCAGCAGAATAAGTGTTTATTGAACGTGTATATAATCAAACAAAAAACTGTGCAGGCTGGTCAGGGAAGAGTGTACTTGATGAGTCATGTTGATTCACCTGAGGGCCTGTTTAGGATGCACTCTCTGTGAACAAAGGGAACCTAAGTTGTTGTTTCTTTTTAAAGTTCCCTCCTAATAAATGACTAGAGGGGTTTTACATATCTTACAATATTTTTAGACTTCATCCATTACATTTTGAATAGAAACTTAACAGAGATTATGGAAAATGAAGATTTTTCCACAGTGCATAGAGAAGGGATTCACTTTCTGGCATATGTATCTGTTTGCAGCTGTGATCTATCACAACCAAGTTATTTTACATTGGTATTTTCCATATGCACATCCAGTATGCCACAATATTACCAAAGATATTCAGAACTAAGTTCTATCATGCTTCTGTCTACCCTTATTCCAAGCCAGTAATGATTTTTTCACAAATATGAAAGGGTGTGGTGTATATAAATGTTAGTAGAATGGCAACTGTATTTTTATCTTTACTGGAAAAAACTGTGTAGCTATAATGAATATGTGGAGTGATGAATACCATTTATTACAGAACTTGTAATGACTTTTTCCAAACCCTAATTATGGGGTAACTTATTTTCTGCAGTGTGTTTACTGGATTGGCTTGAGTGTCTTCGTTCATGGACAAAATATAACACATTCATTTCCAATATGAATAACTTTGTAAGTTATTAAAAACTTCTTTTGTCTAGGGGATATAAAAATTCAGGAAATACTGCAAACCATTAGGCACTGTAACAAGCTCTAAATATTATTAGAAAATCCATTTTGCAAGTGCTACCTATTGATTTAAACTAGAAATCTGTGATAACTAAACTATCAGGAGTCATCTGCTGATTACAGCAAGTACGCTGGTTTTCCAATCATGTTGAATATGTGTACACATGGAACAAATGCAGAAAAACCTCAGCAGACCTGTAATTTAAGCAAGAAATAATATTTCTTGTTATTTCTTAATATATCATGGTGTTCAACCATGTTCAAAGGGTTGTTATAAACTAACACAGAGTACACAGGCAGTAACATAGATTTTCATTTTATAACTGGGTAGTTGTAACCTAGATGGATCTGCTATGAACCAAAATGTTGGTAACACCGACTGGGTCTATTACATTGTCCTACAGTGCTGGCTGCTCTGCTAATTTAATGATGTATTTTATTTAAATTGCACTTTTCCTTGACTCTAGGGGATAGGGATTTTGTGCTTGCTGTTTGTTTGTTTGTTTTTAAGAAAAAAAGTTCTTACTCCAAAGTCCTGTTTTGAAAAGTGCCAAAAGAGCTGAGAGTCTAGTGACACAGACTGCAGCAAAACCGCCTTCAGATGTTCCTGCTCCCTGTTATCTGTGAAGCATTTCCTTGCTCCCTTCAGTTGCACTGATTGTGGAACCACACTCTAGGTCAGGTTTTTTAAGTGATCTAAGTCTAGCATAGTTGGTCCTCATCTCTTTTTTTGAGTATTAACCTGGATTATTTCAGTAGTCTGTTTTATAATGCCACCATTCAGAGAGATGCTGCTGCAAACAGTGTCACAGAGAGGAATGTTAGAATAGGAGATGGGAATGCAGAATGCTTTTCTTAGGTGGCTTCACTGTCACAGCTTCAGAGACTGTTGAAAATATTATGCCAGTTGCCAATATTTAAAATAAAGTTATAAGCATAGCTATGGAGTTGCAAGGCACAAACTATCTACTCAAAACAGTACTGTCTCTTAACACATTCAGTCCAGTCCTTAGAGAAATCTTTGTCAAATATGTTTGGGTTTGCAGCTTGTTTGATTTAGCGTTGCAGTGGGTTAACCCTGGATGAGCAACAGATGCCCACCAAGCCACTCTATCGCCCTCCCTCTTTCCTCTCCCTCCTCTGCACAGCAAAAGAGTAAAGGAAAATAAGATGGAGACAAAAACCCTAGTGGGTAAAAACAAAGGCAGTTTAATTAGAAAGCAAAGCCAAGAAATTCCATGCACGGGAAGGGAAGAGGGAAAAAAAGACAAAGATTGATTCTCTACTTCCCATCTCCAGGCAATGTCTGGCCCCTTCCTGGGAAGCAGGGCTCCAAAACACGTAGTGGTTGCTCCAGAGGACCAAGGACAAGGCACACCCCTGTCACCCCACCTCCCCCACTTTGTACTAGCTTTATAGTTAAGCTGACATCATATGATATGGAATATTCATTCAGTCAGTTTGGGTCAGCTGTCCTGCTTATGTTCCCCCCAAGCTCCTGCCCCCCTGTCCCACTGGTGAGCGAGGGGGGACTGTTAGAAAGAGCCTTGGTGCTGTGCGAGCACTGCTCAGTGGTAGTCACAACATGGGTGGTACCAACACCCTTCTGACTCCCAGCACAACAGCACTGCACCAGGAGGGCTGCAGTGGCAAAAATCAGCCCAGCCAGACCCAATACAAGTGCCGTAAGGGGTCAGATCTCAGCATTTAGTCCTTATCACTAAAAATGTCCTGGCACAGAACCCGCTTCTTTGCCAGATCCTGGTTTGTTAGATCAGGCAATTTGGTAGCGGCTACGTGATGCAGCAACCATACATGGCAAGAGATCATTGCTAACCTTTTAAGTTAAGTCTCTGAATCAGAGTGAAAGACATTCCAGTGGAAAAGGAATGCATAAGCTCTTAGACACCCTCTAAGCTTCATGCCCTACAGATCGACAGTTGGAAGTGTACTGTTGGTAACCATAGGGTTCCAATTCTTCCAGTACATGTATTGTTAAAGACTTGTTCCTAGGATTGCTAGTGAGAATCTCAGCTTTTTAAAAAGTTTCTGTCACTCATGACTTCTTACATAAGGTTGGAAATTTGAACCACAGTAGGCTTAACAATGCTCAGAAAGCAGATAGCATGTACATGTGCAGACATTAATTTTATATCATTTCATTTTATGGCTAATTTGAGGTAAAGGAGTAACTTATTTAAAATATCAATTGTGTTGTTGTTTTTTTTTTTTTTTTTTTTTAAGATCTGGGGTTGACAGTACTACTGTGTGTCCCAAGTAATAAAAAATTATTTGGATGCGTATGCTTTATAACAGAATGTAATGCCTCTGCACGTCACCCAGAAAACTTTACTTTTAATTGTGGTTGTACATTCAGGCCTCAAGGTGGAAATAAATGAGATTTTGCAAGTCTGTAAAGTCATCTGCTAGAAGACTTGATAGTTTTGTCAGGTTTCAGTGAAGCTGTTGACACCAGGAGAATTCTAAACTTTTTTCCTCTTGATCCATCATATAAACTTTTAGAGTACCTAAGGAAAAAAGAACATTAATTTGTATGAATAATAGATATATGCCTCAGGAGCTATATCGAATATTCATGAATTGTGTTTATATTCAAGCAGCTCCTCTAACTCTTTTAAAATTAAGGTGCTGTGAATATGGTTTGGCAATAAAAACTTTAATACTAAAACCATCTGAAAACACAGAAAGAGAATCTGTGACTTTGTTCCTTTGCTTTGTCAAGTACCCCAAAGTATTTTCTGTAGTCATTTATATTTATTTAAATGTTATTGTTTTGTGAATTTTCTTTTTATAAATGTTGCCATAACAGCTTGACTTCTCTTCCTGTTCATGACTATTGGTGGAATAAAAGGATGTCTTTTCATAACTGCAATTTTTAAAGCGACCATGAAGATCAGAGCTTCTCTTCTGAACCTGTGTGTAATTTTAGGCAGCACTGAAATGTTACTTTTAGAGTTAGATTCTAAATGTGGCAAATTGAAACCTTTAGCCGTTTTTTAACCTATTTAAAATAGAAACAGTCTAATTGCTCCTTACAGAAGTGCAGTATTCAAGTGATGTTGGTAATGTGACTGCTAGGAACCAGAGCAGAGACAGCCTTACCCTGGGTGAACTCAGCTTGGCCTAAATGAATTTCCCAAAGACTTATATTTGAAATTGTGGAGCTCTGTATTAGCAAATGAAACCGCAGAAGAGTTTCAAGTCCATCAAGATGTGTTCCACAAGTAAACAGAGAAAGCCTCTATAGCAACAAAGTACATTTCCATTCTGCAGAAGGAAGTGTTCAACTTCTGCAGATTTGGAAAGCTGAGGCGGGACGGTGATCTGTCTTTGTGGGTAAAAAGTACATGTAACTGGAACTGATCTAAAGGAAGCTGTTTTGTGGCTCAGTCAAATAGCTTTTGATTCAGGGAACTGCATATATCATGTCCTGTGCTCATAAAAAAGTTTCCAAATACTTTTAATAAATAAATACATACATACGTGCAGGGTAGCCTTTTTGCAAAGGAGACTGGAGTGGCTGAAAAGAACTTTTTAGTTAACCATGAAACTGAATGACGGATCAATTTCTAATCATAATAACTATTTGAAATTTGTCTATCAATAAATATTATTCCATTAGCTGATAATAGCTTTAATAGACATTTTTTTTTGTATTGGATATTTACTGCAGTTTACATCATAGAGACAACTGTTTAGGAGCTTGGGGAAAGTGACAGGCAGGCAGCAGTTAGCAGACTAATACTCAGCTGTGTGAAAACTACCTTGATTCTCTCTTTATTGACAAAATATTGATCCATACATAACATTATTAATGCTATGACTGTCAGTTCAGTTTGGATAGATCATTTTACCTCTCATGTTCTCAAACAGTGAAGATATTACCCAAAAGAAGTGACCTAATTTCAGTTTGAGAAGGTTAAAGGTTAAAGGTTAGCTCAAAAGCATCATCTGCCTAGCTGCTTAAGTTTAAACTGATCAATTTAATGAAAATCTGTTTTGCAGATGGGGTTTTAATGTCTTTGGCAGGATTTATGCAGCTTTAACATTAGACATATGCTAGTAAAAATTATTTCTTTATTTGACCAGAACAACACCTTTTCTTTTAT